GAGGGGTAAATTTTACTTATCGATCTAAATCAATTGATGGGTATTTAAGAGGTAGGATTCGTCCAATTTCGACTCGATCATCGCCAGGTGACCTTGAAACCACAAATTTCTTGTGCATCACTTAATCTAATTTACATCAATATATGAAACAAAACGAAAAAGTACTACAAAGTTCTGATGCTTCTATGAATCATTTTGGATAACGTTTTGTGTTCTTTATGTCAACTAACATCGATAGTAAATGATTTTTACCACGTGTAAATTACAAACTTGGGCATAGTCGATAAACCGGAAAGCAAAGGCTAATTCTGTTGTCACCGTAAGGAACAATCTTCCTCATCTCCATGTTTACACTTTACATACATGTAATCCGTACGAGTTTAAATAGACCCACTTCACATTAACAAGTCTTTAAGCTAGTTTGTGTTGTTTGATTAAAAAGCAATAGAAAAACAATCAATAAGACAAACACACCAAAAAAAAAAAAGGATAATATCATCCAAACATAAACTTTTAAAATAAGAACTCTATATAAAAAGTACGTAATATTTCTTCAAGAAAAAATAGCAAACTTTACTTTTAAATTTCCAAATTCTTCCTCATTTCCCATTTTTCTTTTTTGATTTATTTATTTCTTTGCCTAATTTATTTTGTTGCTTGAATTTTTTTTTTGTCACAATTTTGTTGTTTGATTTATTTCTTCTTTAGTCTTGGATTTTATCAGGAAACGAATCTATTTCAACAAACCATCCATCTCCACTATCCAACCCTTAGTATCTTCAACAACACCCATCTGAATATTGGTTAACATCAAGTGAAGCTTCGTAGACATTGCTCCTTCTCCTGTCATGTATTTTATCCTGCGGTCATATAGATATGACCCAAAACAAACATTAAGTAACGCAAATCGGAAAAATGGAAAATCAGATGTAAGGGTCTAAGTTTTTCTTTAACAAAAAAAAAAAAATTCATCACTTTTTGTCATGGAAGGTCACAGTTTCAACAGCTTTAACGACCATCGCAGTCCCTGTGCAGAAAACTTCTTCTGCCTCTAATAGCTCCTCCACTGAAACATCGCGTTCTTGAACCTATGATACATTGTGAATCACAATCTACGAATCTTGGATCCGTAAAATGTGTACTTACTAAAGGTTATATTAATATATTGAATGTTGTAACCTCATAGCCAAAATCACGAGCTAGCTCGCTTATGCTTTTCCTTGTGATTCCTGGTAAAATGGTTCCCAAAGTTGGTGGTGTAGACACAATGTTCCCCTATAAAAATGAATGATTACTAATTAATGAGTTAATGCAAAGGAATCTAAAAGGTTGAAACTTTATATGTTACATGTGATGAATGTTACCTTGACAATGAAGATGTTACAAGTACAAAGCTCTTCGATGTTTCTACCAGTTGCCGCATCCAGAAACAAGACATCAGAGAAACCCAATGACTTTGCTTCGAGCAACGATTTCAAAACCTAGATTAAAAAATTTGATTACATATAAAAATAAATAATCCATCAAACTTGTTGACATGGATCTATATTTCTGGTGTCTCTTAAACTTACTGGAGAATAGTTTGTGCAACTCTTCACACCGCCGGCTCCACCGGTATGAGCACGCCGATACTTATGATCAACTTTGAGGTTCAAGCCTGAGCTTGCCTACCAAATCAAACAGTCACTATAGTGCATATGGTTCCATAAAATTAAAGTATAACATTATCGATAATTTAGACCCAATTTTGTTTCTTAAAAAAATATCTACATACAGATTGGAACAATACTATTTAAAATAATAAATAGCGCCTATAATACTTTTTTGTATTATTAAGACCGAGTTTATTTCATAGAGTGTTTGAATAATAATCAACCTCACCTTATGGTAATTTCCAACGGGAGATACGTAAATGAGAAATGTATATTCAGGTGCTGAAGCCATTCCAAGGACAGCACCACTACCTATGAGCAGAAGCCTACTATACAAAGTTTCTTTACCTGGAGGAGGAACCTAAAACCAAAACACCGTAAAGTTCTTTAGCTACGTACTTATATAGTTAACAAGTGAATAAGTGATCAAATGGAATTAGAGACGCATTGGTCCATAGTCCGTACCCATTTCTTGTTGGCAAGCACAGTTTGCTTAACTGCTTCGACGAATTGCTCCACAGAAGGAGGTGTCATGCAAAGCTTATCGGCACCCATTTGCATGCGAAGAGCGTTTTGGTCAGGCCGGAAGAGTGTGATCCGTCCATCTTCGGTCCTATAAGCCTTCAGACCTTCATATAGCCCTTACAAACCCAAGCCAATATCAAAAGGTTACCAGCTTTTTTTGCTTAGGAGTTTGGAGTTTTCAATCTAATCAGTGTTCTAAAATATGCTATGTGTATACACTACAAGAAAACAGGCAAAATTCCGACGGTCAAATCCGTCGGAAAGCCGTCGGAATAAGCCCTATTCCGACGGCTTTCCGACGGTTTTGACCGGTCGGTTCTATCTCGTCGGAAATAGAAATTCCGTCGGAAATACTGACGGATTTCCGACGGAAAAGAAATAACCGGAATCCGCCAGCATTCCGTCGGAAATCCATCAGTATTTCACTGTCCGACGGATTTCCGACGGCTAAACATACCGACGGATTTCCGACGGATAGATATACCGACGGATTTCC